GGGGGGGTTTCCATCGGCACCTTTCTATTCAGTGGGACCCAGAGGGAGTCTGCACCCCTTGTTTCCGCCATCGGGTGACACTGTGTCCAAGGGCAACATGCCAGACTTCATAGTTACCACTGTGTTTGCTCAAAAACTCACTAAGGATGGCAGTCCTTCCTGCTCTGCTGCTTTTTTTTCTTTAACCTTTCCAAAAAACTGCAGCTGTCGAACAATCCGTCATTCGGTCTAGGTAATAGGATCTGAAGAAAGAATGAGTGAGGAACAGGAACGACTCGTGACTTGGAGCGGAGCGGGCTGGGCTGTTACACAAACCCCTCCACAGAGACCTTCACATCAGGAAGTCTGTAACCTTCACCCAAAACAAAACCCCCCAACGAACGACTTCCCCGTTTCATAAAATACGACTTCCTTAACTGATGTAAATCACCACAATTATTCTACGTCAAAGCCTGACCTACAGGTACAACAGAAGAACCCTCCAGGGATTTACACATCCTGCTACACTGACAGTACCAGTGCCACAGGCTGAGAGGCTACTAGGAGCATTTCCTCACTCAAGAAGGAGAGCACTGTACTGTAAAGGTAGCGTAGTAAGCTCAGCAAACGTCATCACCCTTGATTAACCTCACTGTGATCAGACCGGCTTTGCTGACCTGGCACAGCCCTGCGCTGGCAGGACTGAGTAGGCTGTTACACTGCCCGCTATCACACAGAGACCATCTGCTGCAGAAAGAGACACCCAGCAAACTGTATTACAGAGTCCTACATCTTTTACAGTTACATGACAGGCCTGTTTATCCTGCAAGACAGTAACCCCCAGTTCAGATCAAGTACCTCTAATTTGCTTGGCTTTCTCTAGGGCCTCAAACCACAACCATTTGCTCATGGGATCAGACACTAGAAAAGGCTTTCCTGTACCGCTACAAAGTCTGTGTTAAAAGTCTGTACCTCCCAGCGGCCGTAGGTGAGCAAGAACAGGGAGAAGGGGATGGCTGTCCCGGACATGGCGTGCGTAGAGGGCATGCTGTACTCCGAGTTGTAGAACATCTCCACTTTGACGACAGGTGGCGAAGCCGGCCTGGACCAGCGTATCAGGTCCTTGGTGCACTGGCCCAGGTACATGACCCACACCCAGACCAGGATGAGGCGCCGGCCAACGTACGGGTCGATGTTCCAGATGAAGAAAGGGAAGAAGGTGATGTAGAAGAGCTCATTGCCCAACTCCGTGCCAAAAGTGAACAGATAGTACAGCAGCTTGTTTTCGATCAGAAACTCCTGGCCGTCGTCCCCGGTGAGAGAGTTCCTGCGCCGCGGCTTGACGGCGCTGGCGCACGTCGGCGTCTTACTTCCCCCGTCCCCGTTTTCAGCCGAAGCCCCCCTGAGCCGCACCGTCTCCCTGGCTACGCACTTCCCCAGGCCGTTTGGCACGCCGTCTGCCGCGGCATGCTTTCCTCTCCAGGGTGCGTCCCCCGCCTCCCCTTCTACTCTCCCCTTTCGGTCCTCTGCCTCCCCATCTCCTCTCCCGTTACAGTCCCCAGTCTCTCCTTCTCCTCTCCCCTGACGGTCCGCTGCCTCCCCTTCGGCTCGGCAGTGGCGGTGGCCGTTCAGCGAATCGCGGCAAAATGTCCCCCGGACGCCGCAGTACCGCTGGAAGCTCGCTACGTGATGCGGGTCCCTCAGGATCTCACACAGCCGCACAAGCTTGCTCCTAAAGCCGCTCGCCATTCTTCTCCGGTCGAACGCGGGCGCGAAGGTCTCCCCCGGAGGCGCGGTGCTGTCCGCCAGCCGCTCAACGCGACATGTGACCGGCTAGCAAAGGAGTGCCGGGCTCGGATAACTGGACTTTCCGAGATAAATTAAACCGTCACGTGCAGCGAGTGAAGGCGCTAGCTTATTCTGTTGGCTCCGTCCGGCCCAGGAAAGTTACACCACCTCACGAAGCCTCAAAAGGTCCAGCTGTTAATGGATCCCCCACCAGAGAGCGAGTCCGGTCGCGCCGTTCCGCTATCTCTGTCCCTGTCTCGCATCCGGTCACTGACAGCTCCGACGGGCCAGGCGGGGGCGCGCACGTAAAGACGCTGCGCTAGAAGCCCGCCAGGGGATTAGGCGTCACCGCGCCTGCGTGGGCACCAGATTACGATGCCGTGAACGCGCCCGTAGTCTGGGACACTGGTCCCGGCAATTTACAGTCTTTAAATTTATCAGAACGTAATATCATTCAGCAGCAGTTTCACATATCCGGTTAACGCGTTTGCATTGTACTAAAATTTACTTAATTGATGTGACATGTTCGGTTTGACACATTATTTCGTGTCATCCATTTTACAATCTATTTTTTTCAATAGAAGCCATATCTTCATCAGCACAATGGCCATTATCTGTTATTCTATGTATTTTGTGCAGTTTTGAAACGTAAATCGCAAGAACAATTCTGCAACACGCGTGTAAGGTAATAGTTCTACGCCAGAGCTAGGATGAAGTACTGTTTGGACAATGGTTCCCCCCAGAGTTAAAACCCGGAAAAGCATGAGCATTTTTAAACATCAGTGGAAGAATCATCCTCCAGATTGGAGTGCTTGATCGGCGGTGTAGGAGAGAGTTTGACATTGGTAGGTGAATATAACTTAATAACTTAAATAATAAAGGTCTATTTATTGGGGGGAAATTAAATATTGGGGGGTACACGCCCCACCCCCGATTCCTGCGCCTCTGGGTTTGATATCACTGCGTGGACATAAAACATCTCCCCAAATATTCACAATTTAAAGCTTTAATTAGGGTTATTAAATATGATTTTATCTCCAAACATTCCCATCCATAACGTGCTCCATCATGTGGTCTATTCCTGACAGAATGAAAATCGTAATTCTATCTGCATGAGAGTGGTAGCTCACTTCTTATTAACCGTTTCACCGAATAGTATTACACTTCTACATTTACATGTGATTTACTATTCTCTTCTCAGGGTATTGAATAGGTATTTTCACTGGATTATTTCCATCCCATTGTTGCCTTGGTGTTTTAAAAAAAAATCATATTTCCATTAAGTGTAGTATAAAAAAAACACACGTAGTCGGTGTGAACATTCAATTTTATTTTATAGAGCTCATCTCAGAAAAATAAGGCAGATCATTGATGCTACTTCTCTAACATTTGGCAACAAAATTAAGTGAAGAATATGCCCATTTTCTCGAAAATATTTTTTGCTGTACTAAATTATGTAGACATTAACCCTTCAATTTTAAAATTGTCTTTATAATTTTGTACCAGTTCTACTTGTCATTTAGGAAAACTGACATGGAATATTCTTTAATATCAAAATAGAGAAGTAATATCGTACAAACACTGTACATCTGTAAATAACGTTAATTTTCAAATATTTAAATACAACATTAATAGTATAGCGTCAGGAAGGTAAAGCAAAAAACACGGCCATGTATTTTTTTGTAATCTGGTATTATTATAATTACGAAAACAGCCCGATTATCACACTGCTTCTAAGACAACAAATCTTCCCAATGAATTGTACCCTGTTCTAACTGAACCGCACACCCTCACGGTGGGCCACTATTTAGGCATAAATGAAATACAAGGAGTGCTGCTTTGCATGATGGGAAATGCAAATAACACTGTGGAAAGGTTAGCGGCTCCGGCGCTACAGTATTACATTTTAACAGGTAAAGATCATGCCTTTAAGCCCTCAACAAAAAAAATCCGTCTCTGTCAAAGCGTTTCTCTTATGTGGCACATCATATTAACCTACCTTCGAGCATTTATTCAAGACCAACATTTTCCACAAAAATAAAAGCTCCACAAAAACAGACAGGCTGCGTAAACCAAATAGCAATAAATGCATGATTTTAATATCACTCAGTTTTAAACTTTGCGAGACGGCTGAATTCGCGTTGTTTGTGTCGACAGTGCAGAAACAAGAACCTCAAAGATAGCTTTAGGCTTACAATGACAGCTTAAGGTCGCATTAAAGGTCAGTTAGAATCAGTCTCCAGATTGGGTCGTAAAATAGGCCTGGGATTAAGAGAGAGGCAGAGGTGCGAAGCCAAAGATGGTCAATCGACAATATTAAGTCTACTATTGTAAACAAAACAGGTGACATCAACTGCCTGCCAAGAAAACACTCCGATTGAGACATTTTTTTAATATTCAGCTCATAGCCTTCTGGTAACTATAAATATAGGAGGCGGCTCTGAGTAATCGGACACGTTTAATACATATCTTAATGCAATCGGTCCCACGTTTAACTAAACATTAAGCTGGCAAGCGTTATCCAGCCGACAAAGCTAATCTGCAGTTATGCAAACGCAATTCTACCGACGAGTCACCGAGATGCGCCGATAAGGTATCGTATACAGCCTGGGAAAGTAGTACGATCCGGAGCGTTTCAATTTTTTTAATTGTGGAAAAAAACGCCACAGATCTCGCAAATATGACATTTTTCTGATGATTCTGAGTTTGACTTTAGGACAGCAGACAACATAACGATCACACAGATACACGTATGAACAAATTAAACGGTTAATATCAAAAGTTGCTGGGACGCCCACTTTGAAGGCGTCTTATGTGTAACATTCTCCTTGTTCAGTGACGCCAAGCCAATAGAGGGCAACATCGAGCCCTTTCCAAATAAAGTTGCATCAAACGCACACAAGAATGATTACCAGTGGAAAATAAATTGTGTATCTGTCTGGATCTCGTTTCGGGCACAAACTGCTTCACACTCCCTAGTTCCTTCCAACGCATGAACAACAGATATTAAATGATAACCACCACAAGGTAACAAACATGCAAACCTGATCATATTCACTTCTAAATTAATGTATCGTTTCACATATGCCGCCAGGGGTCAGGATGTTCATTTTTCAATTAAAACTCTTGCTGTAGTAAATATACAAAGATATCTATACAAAAAAACGCATGACAGGCCACAGTACATAGCCCCTGCACTTTGTTTTAAAGCTAAGGTAAACTTGCAATTTTACACAATTTTAAAAGTCATTTTAGTAAAATATATGCATGGTCAGAATAGCTATGTTGACAAAAATATATAGACATATATATATATGTATGTATATATATATATCCCTGAAACTGCAGCTGCAGCCCCAGCTGCAATCCTGGATTTGCATTAGCAGTGACTGTGAAGCAGGCCTGCCAACAGTTGTTGTTCATGATGCCAGTGTGCTGTAGCAGTGAAGTACAGAGGTGCTCTCTAAACCCAGCCCTTGATCTGTACTCTCACTAAGTGCTGAGCTTGTCAAAACGTCTTGACAGGTTGTGGTTTCCATTTTGAAAGCAGGAGACTGATGGCACAAGCGCTCAGTGAAGGCAGCCCACACTGCGGCAATTTGTATCTCTGGCCGTTGGTCATTGTTGAACACGCACGGTTCTGTTTTTTTTTAACCATACACTGGGCACCTGCTCATCCATTGTCACCCAGTTTGTAGATCAGAACCTGGGCATTGCAGTCAGGCGGGTGCCCATAGAGGCAGCCTGGCACTACATGGTACCGCGGTACCTCACCGTAGGCAAAGACCTGGGTGCAGCAGTCTGCCACCACTGCCTTCAGCCTCTTTGCATCAGGGTAGTGCTGCCTCTGAGGAGAGTCCCAAGTACAGGGCCCAGCCCCCCCCTCCTCGGCCCGCCCCTCTTCCCGGTGCAGTTTCCGCAGCAGGTTGTTGATGAGCACGGACCGCCGCAGGTAGATCTCTGGGTCTTCAAGGAACCTAAGCTTCTCCAGGGACAGCTGGAGAATGCAGTGCCGATCCTCTGGCAGTATCAGGTGCTGGGTGGGGTGGGGGGGTGGGTGCAGTGTGAAACATGCCGCCAACGTTATTTCAGGTTCATAGTGGTTAATTATCACTCACTGTGCGAGGGAGAAGAGCCCCTTGTATACTTACTTGCTGAAAGTATTCATGAAAATCCCTATGTAAGTCTTCCTCTTCCGCATACTTCCTCTTGAAGTACGCAACCTTCGACGTCGTCGGTCGATTTGGTTGCTGTCAGAAGGAATCAGCTGCATAAGAAGAGGAGGCATGAGATGGATTGGCTGTACAAACCGCAAGTGGTGCTCAGCCATCTCTGTTCCTTCAGCTCTGTTCGGTTCCAGCTCAGTTTTGAAGTTTAAGAGCAGGGGCGTCATTAAGCCTGTTTTAGGGGTGCTTTAGGCCACCTCAAATGCTTTTTTAACCCCCCTCCGAATAAATGTGTATTTACTGGCTTAAGTCATGAATAGTTTGCCATTCATTTCTAAAAACGCCCCTGACTATGAGCATACAATGAAATACTGACAACTGAATTTCTATATGAATATATTTTAATCGACATGTTAACTCTTAAAAATTTGTCAGGGATTAGTTGGATAAAGGAGAAAGGACTTATGTTTAAATGTTTGTTTTTAAACCTTTTTAAAATGTTATGATTGCATATTATAGCAAAACAATAATTAGTACAATATTATTTATACTGTACATACATTTAAGATGTGGACGTTACATTTTTATTTAATGACTTTGTAATTTATTCCTCTCAGCTATGTGATTATGTCGACATCTCTTCCATATTGGAGGTGGATACGACACGCTACTGAGGACAAATGAAATGTTAGTATTATTGTCATAGAATATCTGTGATACAGTCATACAAGGTAATATTGCACCACGTGTCGTTCGCATGGCGTCCGCATGTGAGTGTATGTTGTGCGCCGTATTTGCGTGGAGTAATGGATTATTGTCATTGTGGCTCTTTTAACCCGTATTTCTGGTCAAACTGTGTTGCATACCTGCCTTTTGGAAATGGAAAGTGGATGAACTAGCATACCTAACCCGGAGGAAATAACATCGAATTTTAACTTCAAGCAGAAGATCAGTTTGCCTATTTAAATGTCGGGGGAAAACAGCGAAATTTCGGTTAATCGCACTAACCGCATGAAATCTCAAAGGCACCTGTAGTGCGTGGGCGGATACCTGATGGAGAGAGAAATCAGCCACAGACGTACTCTCTGCCTGGGGTCCCGATCCTCTGTTGTGTCCCCTGGCCTTCATACATTTCCGTCAAACACCACTGTGGGAGACAGATGATTAGGAGCCGGGCTAGAGCTCAAAACTTACGACCGGAGTGTTAAATAAATGTCCTGGCTGCCATTGGGCAATTCGTTTTTCACTATGGGGTGACGTATACTTCGGAAACACGGGTGCTCTTTCGGTAACCTGCAACTTGAATGAAACTAAACTGCACTGTGATCCTCTCCGCCTTCTGCTGTTTGCGGTCTTGGCACCGGTATTAAGCTGATATCGTGTTCCCCCTGAGGGAGCGAGTAAACGACGCGCTACATTATCCCATCCCAAGGCCAAGTAGCAGAGATCTCATCCCTCCCCCTCAAGACAAACACACGAAGCCAATCGCACGCCTACCAGAACGACTCAAGATCGCGTTCTCTCTCCTTCCCCTATCAGCAGCCTTTTTCATACAAAAGAGCGACGGAAATTGGACCTTGAGGAAAGCGTGTTATCGCTGACTTCCGAAGCGAAGGGTCGGTGGCACTCGCTGAACACGCCGCGCCGTGGGAATCGTTACTTGAACGCCGCAGTTTCTTAATTGACAGCGATGGTCCTGGGAGATTTTGGTTACGTCGGATCTCAGTATCATTGTTTGCAATTTCCCGGCTTTAGGGATCCGCTGCGTTTATGTAAGCGTGTACTTATGACTGGCGAGCAGGGTGAACAAGTAACGCTTAACTGCCTGTCAAATTTACGATATTTAAACTGTTTTCTGGGAGGCATATTGAGAGGAAGTGCGGGCATTCACGCAAAAGATAATCATCTCTCCTAATTATTGATATACTAACCTTTAATGGACATTAACATTTTAAAGCAAATGAACAGTGGCTAATAGAGGCGAATTACGGCGCGACTAAAATGTTATTAAGACCCTGGTATACATTAAGAATTTATATTGTGCTTTATATAACTTTTACTTAACACTGTATTTTAATAGGGAAAATCCGAATAAAATACACAATTTAATGTATTAATGACCCCTATAAAACACATTTTGCAGTACATCATACATGTCATATTAAATACGACAATGCTATCAATGCACAACGTAAATATAAAGAACATTCCCACCTTTTAATAGCAGTTCACTTTTTGGTCCAAGGCAGAGGGCTTGCGAGACGTATTAAGATGTAAAACGATCTTCCTGTGGTGCGGTGTCTTGGTGTATTTTGGCATTCGTCGCTTTGACATGAATCCCGTTTCTTTTTATATCAATTATCCCTGCAGTTCCGAGTGGCCGCTGTACCGCTGCCTTAATAATCTCATCGGGACGCGCATCACTCGTATGTCTTAAAATATCCCGTTTTTGTGCAACAAGAAACACCACGGCGCTTTCTGCAACCTTATTGGTCCTCGGAGAAGCAGATGTTTCTTGTTGCTAGGAGAGTCGCTAGGCGATGATGACGCGCCGTCATTTTAGTAGCCTCTATAGCCGGTGCTGGGTTTCGAAATCTTTTTATTCGCAAGGTTAGATACCTCCCGTTATAAGATAAGACGTCTAGCGGCGAAGATAAAAACGTCTAATTGGACGCAGAATCTGTGGGATTTATTGTGTTACTTTTGAAATCGACATTTCTAACATTTTAGCTTTAATTTATAAATCAATGTGTAAATTATCAGGACTTAAAAAAAAATCGTGGTTATAGTGAGGTTAAATGACTAAATTATGACACGTCATCAGTCTATTCGTAGAGATCCATTCTTAATCACTGAACAGATCTTTGATCGCATTCCCTCCCCACCACCACCTCCCCAAATGGTCATCTGAAAACTTCCTGCAAATTTCCTGCTACAGACAACCTTTAAAACTATTATGCCACATCAACCAAGGGCCATGTAAAAATCATACAATGATTTTACTCTGAGCCATAACAGGACTTGCCAAAGGACAAAGGCAGTGATAGGGTTCAGTTGTTTGGAACTGTTTATTGAAAGAATGACAGTACTTACAAAACACAGCCAGCCTTGCTGATTCACATGCACAGCACAGGCACTGAAGTTACACACACACACTTGCATTCTTACATGAAGCAAAACTGTGATTGACAGTACATGCTGGCATCAGTGGATTAAAGTCAATCTCATTACACACTTACTTATTCAAAGGCATTTCTCATTTGCCACCTTAAAGCTTGAAAATAGACATGCTATAGAAAATCTTTACATGTTAAAATTTCAGGTTCAAAAATAGAAATATCTAGGGTGATGAGAGGCATGCACACGTGAGTCTTGTGTCTTGAAAGATGTAGTACGACAGCACAGACAGTATTCTGCGGAGTGATTATTTAATTATTACAGACATCACCGTTCTCTGTGTGACTGAAGTCTGTGAACACAGGGGATTCTAAGAAAGAGCCCTTTGTGACCTAACCAAGACTGATATTACACCAGGGTGGTAATGTCTCACGTCTCACAGTAAACAGCCCATTTACCCAGCAGGGACACTAAGGTCAGCCAGTATCTGCCAAATGATCATCCGGAAAAAAATAATAATCAAACTTTAAAACCACTTATACTTATTCCAGTTCCAGGCTCTGCCTGCTCACATGAAGTGGAAGTCAAGAGGAACTGAAGGAAGAAGATTTCTACAGACCCACAGCCCTGTAAAAGCCGACAGCCACCGTCGATGGATCTCTCGGTGATGAGAGGCTTAGCCCATCGCGGCTGAGACTTGTGATTGAGCCTCGACGTCAGCATCCGTAAGCACAGGCTCGCTAAAAGCATGACCGCTGTTACAGCCTCTCAGTATCAGAGGGTTAAAAACAAGAGTGAAATACTGAAATGCTAAATGATACATATATACACAGAATACATTGATACAGTGTATACATAGAACTGCATCTTCCACTGTCCATAAACAGGAAACGAAGAGTTCAAAGGTCAGGGGTAAAGGTCGGCAGGGTGACCTGAGGAGCCTAAGTGCGAACACCAGCTTGGATGCGAACAGCTCGACATCATGTCCTAGGGCTGCAGCTGAATGGTCTTCTTGTGGCTATGAATGAACGGTTTCCTTTAAGCGTGGAGCAGATGGGAGCTGAATGCCCCCCCACCCCCCGAATGGAGCACGGATGTGGGGGAAGGTCAGCAGGACCTCGTCCAAATGGGCAGGTGGGGGAAAGCGTCTCCGCTGCCAAGTCGCAGCGATGTTAGTGTACAGAGTTCATCTGCTTCTCACATCAAGGGGCCCCGTCACTCCATCGTGTGAAGGGGAGCCTGCAGGGGGAGCTCTAGGACTCCAGCAGGACGTGCCAGCGGCAGACCTGCTCGCCCTGCGACTCGCGCATGTCCTGCCAGTGCAGCCGCTCCTCCTCACCGCTGGAGCTGTGGCCCAGGGACACCCATCCCACCATCTCCTTGCGCTTCATGCTGCGTTGGCTGTAGATGGACACCAGCAGCGTGACGTCGGACAGCTGAAAGAGCGCCACCTGGAAGATGAAGGTCTCCTTGTACACGGGGTGCGGCTGCCCCCGGCGAAGGGAGGTCTTGCAGCGGGACATCTCCTGGCCCGCCGAATCCAGCAGGGTCAGCTTGCCGTAGGTGTCTGGTGGGGAGGTGTATCTATGTGAGCTAGGCAGCTTTACTTGGGAGGCCCTTTGCCAGCAGAACCATGATTAAACCAGGATTTAAAAATGCAGATTAGTTTAAAACATAGAGTGGTCTCTTAATTTTTTCCGCGGTTGTACATGTTATTAGTATTTTTAAATGATGTTTCCTCCCCCGGATTGGGCCCAGTCTCCCCCTATCCATACCGCCGTGAGACAGGCTTTGTCTGCCTATTTCTCACAGAGATGTTCTGTGATCACAAAAATACACCGAGCATCTCATATGCCGCCGATCTTAGCGCACAGACACCCCGTTCGCCGCACTGTTTTCATGTAGGAGCGTAATCACAGGTCAAATCGGCACATCGAGAGCATAATCACAGCTGAGATCACACGGACTGCCAGCTCCCCATCTCCCACTCCAGCCATTCTGGGGGGCGACTTGGGATAAAGACGCCTTAACACACCCCTCTCTGGGTGAAGGAAGGAGTTTCAAAGAGAGCGTGAGACGTCACAACAAAGACAATGCAACAAAATCCACAGCTGGAAGCCTTATGACAGCTAAGTGTGATGCGGTCATATGCCAGGTGTGCTGTTTGCAGTGTTCACAGTCGAGGGTTATCTTTGCTGTAGGAGGAGGGATAGCAGATAATCACTGCAGGTTCAAACATCTCTGTGTTGGCCAGGTATGGCCCTGGCATGACATCAGCAACAGCTGCTGGGCACGCGGTCTCTGAGCGGGGGAGGGGGGCTGCTAGTAAAAGATTAACAGTGTTTGTGCGCGTTTGGGGGGACCTTGGTTCTGTGTGCGTGTGGGAGTATAAGTCCGCCTGCATGTGGACGTGCGAGCGCGTGGGCGGACGGCAGCACGAGTCTCACCAGGAGGCCGGTTGACGGCCAGGTTGCGGAAGTGACTTCCCTTGACCAGCTCCACGGACAGGCGGCCGGTGGTGGGACTGTAAGCCAGGCCGATCAGCAGCTCGGGGACGCCGCCGTGGGACAGGGACTGTGTGGACGAGGTACTGTCGCTCTGGGAGACGGCCGAGAGGCTGAGCTGGGAATCGGCACCCTGAGGGAGGGCAAGCAGATGGGTAAACAGACAAACAGCCCGCTAAACTGGGTCACACAGTGTTGGGTGTTGATACAGTTAGTGCTGCCCAGTTTACTGTGTCTGATAGTCAATACTGTAGAGTTCACCTTGATTGATACTGTCAGTGCTGCCAAGTTTGCTCTGATTCACACTGTCAGTATTACAGCTGCCTGACGTCAGTACAGCTTTCTGTGTCTAATACCGTCAGTACTGCACTGATACACTATATGGACAAAAGTACTGGGACACACCTCTTAATCACTGAATTCAGGTGTTTCATTCAGACCAGTTGCCACATTTATATAAAATCAAGCACCTAGCCATGCAGTCAGGTTTACAAACATTTGTGAAAGAATGAGTCATTCTGAAGAGCTCAATGAATTTAAATGTGGTGCCGTCATAGGATGCCACCATTGCAATAAGTAAGTTTGTGAAATTCATTCCTTGCTAGATATTCCACGGTCAACTGTAAGTGGTATTATTACAAAGTGGAAGCGTGTAGGATCAACAGAATCTCAGCCATTAAGTGACAGACCATGTAAAGTAACAGAGC